AGATGCAGATAGGGTTAGGGAAGGATAAAAGGCAAAGGCTATAGAAATAGTGGGTCACTTAGGGCTGAAAGGACAAGGGGAAAATGGACTTAACCGAACCCAGGGAGAATGGGAACCACGAAGACAGGTCATCATTTGGGACCTGTGACCGTGGCAGAGTGTGGCTATTGTCAGATGGAGAGCATTAGAGCAGGAAGCAGGAGGGAATGATTACAGGGGAAGCTGAGATATGGTCTGTGCTACTAAACAGGGCAGAGAAAAGCAGAGAGTTGGCCAGAGGGACAGTGGGGTAAATACAAAGAAACTAAGCTGTTATGCAGCTGACAAAATAATTTCTGCCCCTATGAAAATGACATTGTAGATAGAGCTAGAGGCATCTTAATTACGCTGAAGTAGGATTTTGATGAGTGAATTTTGAGTGATAGGAGTGAAAGCACTGTTAAGTGCAAGATATGACATAAAGAAAGCATATAGCACAAAGCATGTTGGGGAAAGGTGATCAGTCCCTGTGCAGAGGGCATGGCAAAAGTAGGTTTATGGTTGTTCCTATGGAAAATAATACAATAATTAACAAATAACAATACAAGAATGAAATCTGTGTTTCACATGCTCATAACTGTAAACCTACATTTGACTCAACCTGCATAAAAGAACTGGTTTATACAGGAAATTTGAATAATATGCTCGAGTAGTGGTTTGGTCTAAGCTTCCCAGATTTATGGTAAGGACTTGGATCACGTGATTATGGGTGTTGAGAAGCCCCATGTCTGCTGTCTGTAAGCCAGAACTCCAGGTTCCAGTCTGAGCCCAAAGGCCTGAGAACCAGAGGGCCAATGGTGTAAGTTCCAGTCCAAGGGCAGGGGAAGATGATGTCCTAGCTCAACAGTCAGACTCTTAGAGAGAGAGAATTCTCTCTTCCTCGGCCTTTGTGTTCTGTGCAGGCCCTCAGTGGATTGGATGAGGCCCAACCACACTGGGTAGGGCCATCTGCTTACTCAGTCTCTAGATTCAAATTCTAATCTCTTCCATTAACAGCCTGACAGACACACCTAGAAAGAATCTTTGGCAGGGTATCTGGGTACTGTGTGGCCCAGTCAAGTTGACATATAAAGTTAACTTCAAAGAGGTTGAGCTTTATTCACAAGACCAAGTGGAACCACTAAAGATTTTTGAGCAGGGGTGTGATAAAATCAAAATAGTGTTTCAGGAAAGTTAGCCCAATGGCTTTGTTTAAAATGGATCAGAAAAGAGAGACTTTGAGGATTAGGTAACCAGAGGCACTAGAAGGCTTGATTTATGTGGCTTGGTATTCTGATTTATCTGCTTTGTACAATATTTATTGATTCCCTAATGATAGATGAAATTTTAGGTGTGTGCCCCCCAATGCAGTTACACCTCTGTTTTTTGTTAAATCACAACTGGTGATTGTATCATGATTTATAAATGTTGTTTACTATTGAGCCAAATAGGATATCAGAATTTCAGGGTTTTTTAAAAAATAAAATATTTTATTTTTCTTGGAGTTTCGAATTGGGTCAGTTTTTCACTTTCATGATTTGCTAACCACAAATTTTAAGTATTTTCAAATGTTCATCGTATCCATTGTTCTATCGAATTTTCCTTCTTCCTAGTCTCTTCCCTTTCAGAGTCCTCAGGCCTCATTCTCTCATCTGTTCCATTTGTGTTTTATGGCCACAGCCTTAGACTTTAGTCTTGATTCTTCTGTGATGGGTATTTGCTTTCTCTTTCTTGAATCCATCCTCCCCCACCCCCGCTCTGCTTTCTTTTGTTTCATTGCTAGTGTTCATTCTTTAATAAGTTGAACAAAACAGAGACTATGCTAGGTTAATTTTCTGCTAACTTGCATCTATTCTCATCTACATTTAGCTGATATCTTGACTGGCTTAAGATTTCCCTCTAAATTGTGAAGACAGCATTGCCGGTGTCCTTTGTATTTGACTTTTTTTTTTTTTTTTTTTTTTTAAGAGAGAGAAAGAGGGGAAGGGAGAAAGAGGAGGAGAGAAATATCAGTGTGTGGTTGCCTCTCACATGCTCCCTAGTGGGGACCTGGCCCACAACCCAGGCACAACCTGAGGGCCTGAGACTGAGACTCGAACCTGTGACCCTTTGGCTTGCAGGCTGATGCTCAATCCAGTGAGCCACACCAGCCTTATTAAGGTTGGTTCTCTTTCCTCTGGACACTTCTCAGGTATTTTCTTTTGGCCCCAGTGGCCTGAAATTGCACCATGATGTACATTGGTATAGGCCAGAGATTTTCAACCTTTTTCATCTCATGGCGCACTTAAACTAATCACTAAAATTCTTTGACATGCCAAAACTATATTAAATTTTTTGTCAATCTGACCAAAAAATTGGTGTATTTTGATTGATTTACAAAAATAATAATAGTAATTACCCACTCTTTTTGTTCTGAAGTGACTTTAAAAAAAATCATGTGCCTATATTTGCATATAAGGATTTCTGGTACCAAGAATTAACCAATCAGACACAAGCATATGTGACATGACCAATAAGATGCAACTGTATTATATGGCCTATGTATTTATGGTTCAAGACAGAGCATTCACACCTATGGCTATTGTTGTGTTGGCTTTGTCATTTTTTATTTGACAATCTAAGGGAAAAGATGCCAGTGCCCCTGACTAATCAGGTATCCCGCATTTTAAAAATTCATGTGGCACACATGTTGAAAAATGCTAGTGTAGGTTATTTCTCATTCACTGCGCTGGGTATTTAAATGGGTCCTTTTCAATGTAGATATGTGTATCCTTCAATTCCATAATATTTTCTTGTAATATTCATGTGGCAACTTTCTCCTCTTTGTTTTTTCTTCCTTCTTCTTTTGGAATTTATATTAATTGGATAATAGAACTCTTTAATTGATTATTTAAAATATCATTTCCCCCCCTAGATTTTCATGTATTTTTATTTCTTGGAAATTTTAAATTTATCTGGCTTCTTACCTTTCAATTTTCTAATGGCATTTTTAATGTCAAGAATTGTTTCTTTCTAATTTTACCTTTGTCATAGTATTCTCTTCTTGTGTGAAAAAGGAAAAGAACTCTGAACTCTTTCTTATTTGTCTGATAATATTAATGAAAATTCTTTGAAGTTTTTTTTTATTTTGTCCTCTGAGTTATTTCCTTCCTCTAGGTTCTTCTCCCACTCCACTTTCATTCCCAGTGGTCCCTCATTTTAAGTGGGAGGTTTTTCTTAACTGATTCATCCATATTTAAGACTGAGAGACTTCAAATTGTGCTGTATCCAGAGAGTGGAATATTCCTCAGGAGAGGGCAAAAACTACTGACACATGGAATGAGATCTCATTTCAGAAGCATTATGTTAAGTGAAAGAAGTGGTCTACAAAAATGCATATTATATAATTTCATATAGGGGAGATTTTTGAAAAGACAAAACTCTAGTGACATAAGCAGGTTAGTAGTTGCCAGGAGCCAAGGATTGGAGGAAAACTTTGACTTCAAGAGGGTGTGAGGGAGCTTTTTGGGTGATGGAAATGTTTGTTATATTGCGGTGGTATTGATATAACCATATATGTTGGTTAAAACTTGTTGAATTTTACACATAAAATTGGTGACTTTTATTATATGGGATACATTAAAAAAAGCTGTCTGAACAAAAATGGGAAATTCTGTGTGTGGATGGGGTTGTTGACTTGGAGTCTTTGAATTGAGCTTATTGCACTAGAAGCCATCATTTCATCAGGAATGTCCTACAAATGGCACTTTGTGGAGGCCTTGACCACTATTGTCTTTAGGGCAAAACAACTGCCTGGATTCTGATGTGAACAGGCACCTATGCAGTCCTTACCTAATTTTAGATGGAGTTCTATAATGTGTCCACCTCTGTTACATGAGTTTTAAAAATTTACATGAAAATTATTCCACCATGTAATCTTTTGTCATTTGATGTTCTTTTATTCCACTTTGTTTCTGAGTTTTATTCATATTGATAGATAGAACTATTTCATTCATCTAAATAGCTGTAAAATACCCCATGGAAAAAAATACACCAGAGTTTGTGCATCCATTTCCCCCAGAGGACCATTGGCTAGTTGACATGTTTTTTGACTGCATACAATGCTTCAGTGACCTTCCTGCACATGTCTTCAGGAGCATGTGTGTGGGGGTCTCTAGCACAGTGGCTCTCATATGTGAGGGTGCATTAGAATCGGCTGGGATGCCTGTATAACACAGGCTTCTGCAACTACCCCAAAGTTCTTGACTCAAGAGCTGTAGGGGAGCCCCACCAAAATCGAATTTCCTTTGCTAAATTTGATTTTTATTCTCTCCATAGAAAACATTAGAGAAACTTCAAGTCAAAAATACATGCTCACTTTGTACAAAAAGGGTCAAGATTTTTAATTATCTGTTACATAGGCACAGTTATTGAAAGTTAATCAATTTAAAAAATATTTTATTTACTTATCTTAGAGAGAGGGGAAGGGAAAGGAAGGAGAAAGAGAGGGAGAGAAACATCAATGTGTGGTTGCCTCTCATGTGTCCCCCACTGGGGACCTGGCTTGCAACCCAGGCATGTGCCCTGACTGGGAATTGAACCAGCAACCATTTGCTTCATAGGCCCATGCTCAATCCACTGAGCTACACCAGCCAGGGCAAAAGTTAATCAATTTTTACTTAAGGAATTTCACATGTTCTGAGTCCTTAGTTCCTCACAAGTCCGAGGAACTCATGAGCTTTTATACTCAATCCAGTCAGTTGCCATGACAGTGGGTCCTATGTAATAGAAATAGAGATGACCATGTGATCACAAACTCTTTGGTCACTAGCCACCTGGAAGGATTAGCTAGACAAAGGTCATCTGAAAAATTTCAGAAATCTAAGACAGCTATTATAAAACCTCACTGGTTGCCAATGGCTATTACAAAATCACATATAGCTTGTGTGATATTTCTATTGGACAGTGCTGATCTAGGCAATGCAAATAAGTAAGGGTTAATAAACTGTTTCAAATAGGCTGAATGCTAGCAATGTAGCAGAAAGAAAACCTAGTGGGAAAATGTTGTGTGGTCATGTCCACAGCAAAAAAATTGAACTTCTAACCAATTCCCAGGTGATGCTGATGCTAATGAAGGGACCAAACTTTGAGAACCACTGCTTTCGGGTTGATACTTACAGGTAACAATTTTGTCCATTGGATATGTACATGTTTTTTATTTTACTAGAGATTTTCACACTGGTGGGGATTTCCAAACATACAGAGTTTTTGCTCCAATACATACCTACTATCAGTGTATACATTCCTACTTTTCACTATGTTGCCAGAAATTGATGTTATAAACTTTTAATGTTGTCAATTCAAATATCTCTTGCTGTTTTATTTTATGTTTTTCTGATTGATGGTGAGATTGAACACAAAATATTATGTTTCATGTCCATTGCTTTCTGTTTTCTGAAAATTTCTTTCTCTTTGGCCTCTTTTCCTTTTTAGGTTGACTGGTTTGCTTTTTATTTTATTGCTTTGTAGACTTTCTTTAGCTATTTTGGACACTAATTCTTGATCTGACAATGAGTTGCAAATCTTTCACTCTCCTACTCTGTGATTTTTTCATTTTGTTTCTGGTATTTTTGATAAAGAGATATTTGAAATATTATTTTCTTTTGTAATCTGTGCTTTTATAATATTTTGTTTGAGAATTCTTTCCCTGCCCTGGCTGGTGTAGCTCAGTGGATTGAGCACGGGCCTGCGAACCAAAAGATTGCAGTTCGATTCCCCGTCAGGGCACATGCCTGGGTTGTAGGCCAATTTCCAGCAGGAGCCAGTTCCCAGCAGGGGATGCACGAGAAGCAACCATACGTTGATATTTCTCTCCCTCTCTCCTTCCCTTTCCCTCTAAAGATAAATAAATAAAAAATTAAAAAAAAAAGAATTCTTTCCCTGCCCTCATAGAGATATTTCAAGTATTTCTACACTTAAGTTCTTTACCTAATGTTTATATTTAATGTTTAATTTATTTGGAATCATGTATATTGTATAAGGTAAGAAGCAATTTTTTTTCCATGTGGGGAATCACTCACTACCTCTGTCATATCACAGTTTCATTCACTTTTGCATCTAGTTCAAACTCCTCTGTCCACTCTATAATCTTTTATCTACTCCAGAACCCAAAACTATACTTTTAATTATTTGAAATTTGAAATATCTAGAAAATTTTGATATCGTATAAAGAAATTCTCATGTTAGTTCTGTTTTTCAGAGTAATCTCATCTCTTCTTGGTTGTTCTGACATAGTTCTATTTGTTCCATTGGGTGAAAAATCAGCTTTACATTTTTCAGTTGACTCTAGCACTTTATTCAGTGTTGAGATTTTGTCCATGGTAACATATGTGCTTATTGGGACTTCATTTCTCTTTAACAAAAATTTGAGGTAGACGAAAAAAACCCATGATGCAATAGAAGTAATTGATGTGCTTCCAGGTAAAAACAGGAGAAAAGAATGTCAACCATAACAATAATAAAATCATTAGACCAAACATAAAACCTTATAAAAAACCTTTTCACTGAGAATGAAGTGGGATGCGTGATAAATATTTGACTCCTCTAATCATGAAAAAATTGTAATAACAAACGGTCAGAAAGTAACATAGAACATTTCATAGGGAATAGAGAAAATAAATTGTTAACGAATAACAGAAATGCATTTCTAATAGTGGCAATGAATAACATTTTAATGTTATAAAATTAATAAATAGGTAGTGAGATTTATTCAACCCTCTCTCAGGGTCTAACTTGATTTTAGGGATAGAAATGAGACTATCTGGGTCTTTAAGTAGATAGCAGTTTTTTTCTGTCTCTTCAATTGGCAGCCTATGCTTATGGGTTTGATCCACCCTGCCACCCTTTTTCCGTAAATAAAATTTCATTGGAACACAGCCACACTCATTTGTCTGCATCCTGCCAATGGCTGCCTAACAGCTCCCACTGGCAGATTTGAACAGGTGTGCTAAAGACCATACAGCCCATTGGTCTGATAATATTATTATCTGGCCCTTTCCAGAAAAATTTTGCCACGCCTTGCTCTAAATAGTCATTCCTCATTAACTTTATAACTGTGTGGTTATGTTTTGAAATCTCCCTCACATTTTTAAAAAATTTTAAGCACATGAGAGTATAAGCCAAATACCTTACAGACACAGTGGTCAAGGTGAGGTATTTGGCCAAAAGGATTTCTTCATATCTTCCTTCAGGAAGACAATGAACGTACTCTCACCCTGTATACTCTTTCTACCCAGGAATTTTATCGCCCAAAGGAAAAAAATTAAGAGCACAAAGATACCCTGCAGTCTGAATTAGGGAGCTTCTTGTTTGCCTGGACAGCATACTCCTTGCTCTGCCTGGAGGGTGGTTCACCTCTTACCGCACATCCCTCTCCAGTCACCTAGCCTTGCAATGCTTTTGGGACCGTGGTGAGCAGTGCGTGGGAATCCTGACATGGCATCTTTCTCCTCCTCTGGGCTCAAGTCCTGGTAGGTGCCATAAATCTTGCAACTTCTTTTCCTCATAGACGCAGTGCTGAGTTCCTCTCAGCTCCCTGATGATGCTATTTTGTAGAAAAAAAATTTTTTGTAAGAATTGGTTTAACTGACCTGTCACAACTCCAAACTGGCAATATGTTCCAGTGGAAAAGTCTCAGAATTTGGACACAGAGGTCCTGTTTTTGAGTTTCTAACTTTGATACTTACCAGGTGAATGACACTGGGCAGGTTGTTGAAACTCTGAGTCTCAGCCTTTTCCTCTACAAAACGAGGGTACTAACAATGCTTATTACACTTACTTATTAGGAGTATTGTGAGAAACAAGTGAGATATGTGAAAATAATTTGTAAATTACAAAATAAAACACACATGCTTGTTATTATCACCAGTTCTTGAAAGCTCCCTCAATAGTTTTTCCTAATCTCCAAAGGCTTTTTTATTTGTGTTCAGTAACCAGCCCATTAATTATCCATCGCTGCCCCCTTGCCAAAAGGCCTTGCCATTGAGTTAGCATCTGTTTTCCCTGGAAAGGAATGTGCCATGATTCCAGGCTCAGCCACCCTCTGCAAATCACTGTTCTAGAACCTGATATCTCAAAGCTGAGCCATTGTCTTTGACAGTTTGAGGGTGGGAGTTAGGGAAAGAATGTTCCTTTTGCCTCTCCCTAATTCCACTGTAGTCCAGGACGCAGCTCAGAGACTCCCATCCTTTTCAGTGAGCCCCGTGCTAAGTTCCTGCCCAGCTCTTCTCTCTGAGCTCAAAACCAGAAGGGGGAAGCAAAAGTGGAAATGGGGATGCACGTGCCCCCAAACAAAGATTGTCCCTTATCTTAATCTCTCTGATATCTCTTCTTAGAATCTGGATCTGTGCCCCCAATTCCTATCTGGGCAAAGCTCTCTTTTCTATACCTTTATCTCACTTCTTTTTCTTACTCCTCCCACACTGCCTAGAAGGAAGAACTGGTCATTGGATTCATCCTGTTTCAAGACATGGATAGGGTCACTTACTGGATGATAGAGTCTTCTTTATTAGAAACATCATCCTGTGGGAGGTCCTTTATTCTTTATTTCCCTCTCCTGATGTCATTTTAAGCATGTACTTTGTTTTTTCTTCCATATCAAGTATCATGGAGCCAGTCCAAGAGTAGTCAGGTTGCAAAATTCGGGTTGAGTTTGGGGTGATAGGGGCCCTCATTGGCTCTTAGGGCAAACTAGTTATGAACCCCATTCTTGCTAGAACTCTGAACTGGATGTTGGACTAAACTTAAAATTAGATAAAAAGAAAAAAAAACAGATTAAACTTCTGTAATTTGTTAAAGTTGTTTGTTCTTTGCTCGTGTTCCTTTTGTGGATATTTCCTCCATGGCTCTCATAGAAAGGGGGTTAGTGAAGGGTCTTTATTCCACCAGTAGCTCTTAGGGCTTCTATCTATGCATTCACAAATAAATTCCCAGAGTGGCCACTGGCTCACCATTTCTACCAATGGTGATTCCCTGTATCCTCCGTTAGGTTCAACTGGGACACTGTGTTACAAACTGTAATCTAAATTTTCTTCAATTTTGAACTAACTGCTTTCTACAGAAAGGAAAAATGAGGATTTAAAAAAAAAACATGACCATGATATCTTTGCCAGATAAAACATAATTTGCTTTATTTTTCCCCTTTGCACCATTAAGAGATTTATTGTCTCCTATTTATTTTCAGCACTTTTCTTCATTTCTGGGAAGTCTGACCTGCCTAAATCATTATTGCATCTGAACAGAGTTTTGCAGACAGATTTCCAGTAATGGGCTCAATAATGGGCCCTATTTGGAATTTCAACGGCCCTTTAATGGTACACAGAAGGGCAGTGCTTCTCACATGTTTCCTGAGGAGCAAACATGAGGAGCCCCAGGGGTCTAGTGGCATAATCTGAAGCAGCCTACCACAAATTTTAAAATTTTTTATAGTCAAATATAATGGGAAATTTGCATTCCACATCACGGTAGATTTGTGTTTCCCTGTACAGAAAAAGGTCATCATGTTTTAATGGTGATGTCAGGCAGGTGGACTGTTCTTATCCAGGCACAATTGTGCTTGTTGTTGTTTACTATTAGTGGGACGATGCCCCCGCATCCCCCAGTCTGAGATGCTGAGGCAGGGAAACTGGATTTGACTCTGGATTTTGCCACTTTTACACACCTAAACCCAGGTGAGGAACTAATTCTCTCAGAATATAGATCCTCCTGTATAAATCAGGCTGTTATGGTGTTTGAATCTATAGTTCAGGAATTCCTTTTTGTTGAGTAATCATTCAATGTTGAGAGGGAAGGAGTGATCGGAACCAATGGGGACGTCTCCATCCTGGACTGTTGTGAAAATGATTAAGGGCAGGCATTTTCATGAAATTTAACTGCCCTTATTATGCAATCGTTCTACTTTATCACGTTAGTTTCTTGGGGATGTTTATAGTGTTTTTCCTCATAGAGTGCCAATGTTAGGAACAATAATTCTCATTGGAAACTTTGAGACAGCCACCAGCCTCAGGCTCCCAGACTCACCCCTGGTGAACCTAAATTCAACAAATACTTATCAAGGAACTTTTCTGT